ATAATAATGTAGGAATCAAGCTTGGAATTCCCATCTACCATGTCCCAGGCCCTTGATTTATATTTTCATCTCAGGGATACAGTTCGTTCACAGTTATTTGAGGCTACTTAAATGGACACAAACATACAAATGTAGTACATTTTGTACTTTAGTACTTATTCCTACAGCTTAATGTACTTATTATTAAGTAATTAGTGTGTGCTTATCTTGTCTTTGTATCAAAATTATCAGAAAAGACTGTATAACATAATTTTCATTTTATCCATGTCAGTAAATAAACTCATCATGACGTGTTGCTTGCTCTTGGTAGCTACAAAGCGTGGAGTATTAAAGTAAAATATGATCCAGGTTAGAAAAAAATAAATCCTTTTGGGATTGAGTTAAACCTATCACACTGTTAAAGCATCAAAAGGTTTTCATAATAGTTTTTGATAGCAAAAATGTGTTCATTTCTAACAAAAAGAAGAGCACCTTGGATAACAACCACATAGACTGGCAATATATCTAATGTTGTGATCAATTAGACAAGAAGACCAAGTAGGCTAAAGCGTAGAATCATAGTTGTGTCACCAATGCTCCAAATGTTTCTTGAGCCTATAATTTTGTTATTGTGGAATAGATTAAAGCAATCCCATGTTTGATAAAGAACGGCTTCTTTTCTTAAAAATCACAGCACGTCTATGACATTATAGAATGAGTAGTTAAATAACTTTCAGTGGTGTCATTAGACATGTTCATGTTTAAAGATGTATAGAATGTAACAGAGAGGACAATGTTTTGTACAAATGAGAATGGTTTACTGGTCTCTTTCAAAATACACCATACTCAAAAAACAGGTTGTATTTTGCATATAATAACAGGATAACATAACAGTTATTTCCAAAAAGTTATACAAACCTCTTTACAATGTAATCAATCTCTGTAATTGACAACTTTTCCTCTAAACCCATTAGGAATATAAAGGTTCACATTCTTGTTTCTATTAAGATTTCTGCAAACATCTGAAATACTTTAATATAGAACATGCTTAATCAGTTGGAATATGGTATTTGTAATGGTGTTGTACTTATGTTTGTATATACAGTAGACAGCACTAAGCAATCTTCCAGTTTGTAGAACTGTTACTGTATGCTATATTTGAAATATTTGTTACTTTTCCCGTACTAAAAAAGTATTAGAATGTTAAAATTAGTAATTTATTTTGGCACTAACCAGAAACACAATAACAATGTGTGCAGCAGGAACAGATGCACTTCTATGTTTAGTGTACGGATTCCTACCAGGTGAAGCACTGAAAAT